TAATTATTTTACATTATTAATTCTCTGTCGATATCAAGAATTCAATGAGAATCAATCTCGTTCTCGATTAATTATATCAGAAGGGAGGAAGATTCAGTTGCTCTAAGATGAATGTATTCTTAGCATATAGGGCATCGTCTTTGCGGAAAGCTACCTCTCTCTAGTTTCCGTTTGCAGCAGCTTCCACATGCGAGGCGAGTATCCCCGATGTTGGAACACGCCATCCTGTCTAATCAAACATTTGGATAGAAACTGATGACGTAAACATCGATATCGAAATCGCTTTATAATTCGAAAGATTTACGGGAAATTACGTTTCAATCGTTTGAAAAAAATTCACCAGGTTCTTCCTCATTTCTTACAATAGTTTTGTAAATCATTATCGAATTTCTCCTCCTCAAAAGATGAGGAATTACGTTTCAACTGTTTTAAAAAATCACCAAAAACCCTCGTTTCTTTTCTAATACGCGCCATTCAATCATTTGGATAGAAATTTAATGAACTTCAATATCTATAATATATCTCTATAATTCCTGCATTCAAAATTCACGTATCAATCGTCGCACACGTGCTAAAACATGCATTATTTACTCGTATCGTCGACTTTTTGCCATGACCGTGTGTTCCATTCGGTGAAATCCGGAGGATCCAACGGTGTGCGATTGCCGTGTCGGATGAGGCCCCATCACGGGTGAGGACAGAGCAAAGATGCAATATGCATGCGACGAGCGTCACGCGAATGGTTTATTCCGAGCTTTTCTTACCGAAGATTCGTCCCGAACTTCGGGCCGAACCAGCGGCGTTATTTCTTTTCAACGTCGGGCACGTGAATTCTAACGGGCTCTCGTATTAACGGTGGAAAGATTTACGCGGCACGAGTCACGAGTGTTTCCTCATTTATGCATGCCTCCTGTTCCGGAACAGACGCGTAGAAAATTTACGGTTTTGTGGATTTAGAACGAAATGGAATCACGTTGAAGGAATTTACTACTAGCCTTTCATCATGAGCTTTTTATTCACTTCCTTTAATAATTGGATGAAAAAGTCTTGTTTCGGGCAATTTAAAGCTTCGTTTCGAATTTAATGATTGACTTCGGCACGAATCGGAGAAGATCGGGTACGATCGGGTGGGATCGAGATACTTCGTTCGACTTCGGCTCCGTTCGGCAATTATCGGATGCGATCGGTTCGAATCGAGTTTAGATTGTCCTCAATTTTTAAAGCGTGATGCGATATATTTTATCGTACGTATATTTCGTATAATTTATAACGATACTTGGTTTTAATGATTGTTTAATTATCTGTCCAAGTAAGTAAATTATTAATGTAAGAATTTAACAAGTAAATATTTAACAAGAAGAATCTAATCTAACCTAACTCAACAATCAATTGGTCTACGATATTTAAATTTAGGTCGATTATTGATATAAAAATTTTTTTTCATAAAATAAACTTCGCGCAAACGTTATTTAAAGATTTTCGAATTCGAGTTTGGAAGTCGTAAGTTAGTCAATAACCACAAATGCGAGTTGCTCGAGACTTTCTAACCAAGGGTTCCTGTTTCGCGGTCTCGTATGCCCGCTTCTCTTTCCTAAACTCTCCTTTATCTCCCCACCGATCGACCAACACCCTTAAACTCTGCCATCTTCCAGGCAAAATCGATACATCTCCCGGAAAACCACCTCCTTTAAACATCAACTTGAAATATCAACATTTCGCCGTTTCTCCTTATCATCCATATCGAAAAAATACTACCTCAGAAACTCTCTCTTTTTCACTCGACCTCCTCCTTACAATAATTTCTTCTTTCGAT